ACAATGTACCTACTCGAGGGGTGTAAGGATCGAAGTCATAGCTCACACTTGAACCATCTTGCAAAAGTTGCATTGTGCTGAAATTGCTGAAGCATTTCGGAATTCTTCCTGATAAATGGTTGCCAGAAAGGTCCAGTATCTGAATAGATTGAAGCTGACATATACTTAAAGGAATGCTCCCAGAGAATTCGTTGAATCGAAGGCTCAGAATCCCCAAATAAGCTAACTCAGTCCCTATCCATTCTGGGATTTTTCCACTAAATGTATTTCTTCCCAAATCCAAGACTTTCAAACCTTGGCAATTCTTCAAAGAGGCTGGAAACTGTCCGCTTAAATTGTTGTTACGCACGTATAGAGAGCTCAAGGATGTCGAAGAACACAGAGAGTACGGAATGCTTCCAGATATATGGTTATTGGCTAAGTTAAGGACCATTGGAACAGACATGAGGGTCCAACAATCAGGAATCTCTCCGGACAAGAGATTATCGGACAAGTCAAGTGTTACAGCTGAACGAATTTTGCATATGGAGTTAAGTGATCCAGAAATCTGATTGTTGTCAATACGCAATGCACTAACCAATTGAGGAAATGTTGGTAAGGGTCCTGAAAAATTGTTATAACCAAGATCTATAACAATGGAACCGATATTATTGGCTGATAAATCTTGTATCTTTCCGATGATTTGGTTGTAAGAGAGATTCAAGTATGTTAACATGGGAGGCAACTTTGAGAACCAACTAGGCATTGTGTCTGAGAGACTATTAAGAGATAGATCCAGAATTGAGTAGTCATTTTGAGTTTGAAGCCATTTTGGAAAGTTTGGTCCAAGATTACAAGACGAAAGACTGATAACTTGTAGTTGAAAACACGGAATCCAATCAACGCTAACATTCCAAGTCAAGGAGTTGGAAGACAAGTTTAAGCTTTTCAATTTGCAAAGGTTGGAAAGATGGGATTCAGAGACTGTACCTTCTAACAAATTATAAGGAGCATCAAAACTTTCAAGGTCGAAAAGTTGCCCTAAACTTTCCGGTAAGCCTTTCAGTCTATTGAAAGACACATCCAAGATTTTCAGCTTGGAAAGTTGCCCCAAACTATCTGGTAAGCCTTGCAATATGTTGAAAGACACATCCAAGATTTTAAGCTCGGAAAGTTTCCCTAAACCTTGTGGTATCATTCCATAAAAGTGATTGGACCGTAATTTCAACTCTCTCAGTGATGGAAAGAATTCCAAGTCTGGTAATGACCCTGTCATTTGGTTATTAGACAAATCAAGATACTCAAGACAGGAGATTTGTCTAAAGCTATCATGGAAAATGCCATTCAGCGAATTCTCTCGTAGCCTCAACTCCCTCAAGGATGAAAATCTAGTAAGATTAATCAATGAACCAGTGAGTGCATTTCCCTCAAACGACAGATATTCAAGCGATTGATTACTCCCAGCTAAGTTATCAAGCAACTCAGAAAATGGTTGACTTAACAAGTTATTGGAATCTGCATCAATAGAGCGTAAACGACTTAAACTCCCAAAAGACCTTGGTATCCCACCTTGAATACCACTTCCAAATAGCTTAACATGTTCCAAAGACTTCAAGTACCCAAAGCCACTAGACATTTGGCCTAAGTCGTTACCCGAAAGATCTAGGCTAGTAAGACTAGTGAAGTTAAATAACCAACTATTTATTGCAGGGGACGAATATCTATTATAGGAGATGTCAAGGATCGAAAGATGAGACGAGGAAATATTGGCTGATACAAGTGATGAAGGAATGATTACAGGGAGTTGACAGGCTGATAAATGCAATTCCCTCAAATTAGGAAGCTTAATCATCTCTTGTAACCAGTTTTTCACTTGCACATTGGAAAAATGAAGATCTAAGTACTCCAAATACACTAGATTAGAAAGCCACTCAAGGCTTTTCACTGTTAAAGAATTTTGACCAAGATCAAGAGTCTTTAAGTGTGTTAGATTTTGGAACTGAAGAGGAATAAGACCAGTGAAAGGATTGTAACTAAATGAGAGATTTAGGTACTCTAGTCTTTCGAAGTAGCCGATAAATTTTGGTATTTGTCCACCAAAATTATTGAAACTAAGGTCCAAGTACTTCAAATACTGCAACTTAACCAATGATGGACTAATATTACCTGTCAAAGACGTGTCGAAGTTACCACGAAGATTCAGCACTTGTATATGGCCTGTTCTGTTACTGCATTTCACACCACTCCAAGAACAACATTCCTCATTTTTCCATGAAGAAAGCATATTATGTTCGTCTATGAGACCTCGTTTGAACTCGAGAAGAGCTTCCCTCTCCTTTGTTATGCACAAAATGTTTGCATGATCCACTCTTAACATTGATCCAAACGTTAAGTTTTGATGCAGGATCAATATTGATAGACAAATCAGAAGCAAATGAATTGATTTGTAGTGTTGTTTGGTATCCATTTTTTTTGTGTGTGGAAAAGGCAAATCAAAAGCAAAGGCTTGAATGCTAGTTAAAGGGAGTGTTCATTACTTGATATACACATTTTTTGAAACAAAGTCAAAGTCTACCCTTGCATCAATTGTGAAAGTATTCATTAAGCAATGTTCAATAACTGTATTCAACACTTGCTGCAGTCAAATTGAACTAGACAAGTCTGGTGCACAAAGCATCCTACATTAGCAGGGTCCGGGGAAGGGCCGCATTAGACAGTCTACCCTAATACTAGCATTAATAACTACTAATTACACGGCTTGAACCCATGATACGTAAGTCATATGAAGACAACTTTATGATTTGCTCCAAGACTTAAGTGGAATAAATATAAGCACTCCCTCTGTCACAATTTATGTGGCACACTTTCTTTTTTTAGTCCATCCTAAAATGAATGTCACTTTTCCGTAATTCGAAATAATTTAACTTTAAAATTTCTTTTTTACCCTTAATCAAATGATTTATAGCAACACAAATAGTCAAAAGAATATTTTGGACCACAAATTTAAAGTCTTTCTTTTTTTCTTAAACTTTTACCAAGTGAAACAATCTCAAATAAATTGGGACGAAAAAGTAATAATAATGCTATATGTATTATTTTCCAAAGTCTTCCTTTGCCAACTCTAAAGTCAATAATACAGATAGATTTCAGAGTTATACCCTTTGTGGCTGTGGAGTAAACTGGAAAAAAAAGACACAAAATGGCAATTGAACAAAAAAAACAAAATGCCATTAATGTGAAATACTGGAAATATTGAAAGTAATTAATATAAAAAATTAATTCAACTCCAAGGTCAAAGATATTGGAAATTGAATTCACACCTAGGATGGTGACTCAAATTATTATACTCCCTCGATACAACAATAGTTATTCATGATTAACTTGGCATATGGATTAAGAAATCGTAAATGATAAGAGTAATTATACCAAATCACTCTTATTAATTATAAGTCATCTAAACATTGAAAAAAAAAATTAGTATTTAATAGTAAGGATAAATTAGACATGACATAATAAATTATGCATTGATTTTATAAACTGAACATATTATTGGATTAGCTTTGGTTGTTGATTTTTTGTTGGGGCCCCCTAAAAGAAGGAAGAGAGTCAACTACTAATAAAATTCTTTAAAATAATAGAAAAATTATTTTCCCTTGATCTCTTTATTTCAAAATTATCTGTAATCTGAATCGAACACTAATGTGACATGGCATGTCAATTGGTATATGTTTATCCTTAGTCCAACTTTCAACCATAAAATATTCCTGACGTTTATCTTTTGGCTCAACAGTATTTTTATTTCTAACCGTTCACATTCATTATATGTTTTTTGGAGGACAATATTATATCAAATCTCATAGTTTAAGGACATTTTAGGTCGTAAAAATAATTTGAAATTACTTAATATATGAACTCATACGCGATTGGCTTAATTTTAGAATCCATAGTAAATCAAAATTAAAAAAAAGTTAGCCATCTACTCTCTATACTCTCCTCTCCCCTCACTTCCTCTCTCTTCAACTTTTTTCTTCTTAGATCTTGTCCACTATTTTTATTTGGAATATTTTTCAACTTGCGCCAAAACAAGGGAGAATAAAGTGGGAAACAATCGACGATATTCATATAGAAATAAATAGTTCAATAAAAGGTGATTTAATTAAGCAACCATTTATGTTTACTATATTTTTTTTTCGTGTGTGGACCAAAATTCAAAATAAAGAATGAAAATAACTTGTTTCTCCTATCTCCACGCTGCCCCACCATAATAATAATAATAATACAAATCATATTATTTTGAAAAGTGCAAAATTTATTCATATTTATTACTGATTTTATGTAGAAAACACTCGGAAAAAAAAATAGAAAATGAAAAGATCTCAGTTTCAAGACTTCAAAATTTTATCCCAACAATTACATTAATTGGTTAAAATATTGAGTAACGAATAGTAATTATCAGTAAAGAAGCAATAATATAAGGAAAAAGAAAAAAGAAGTTTCAGTAGGGGTGCCAAAAAATATGTTAACGTGTGTGATTCAAGATAATTAGAAAATAATTACTCCATTTAAGTTTTAACAAAACATATTTTTTTTCTAAAGAATAAAATGGTCAAATAAACTTTTCGAGACATTTTATTAATCCAATTTTCACTTAGGGTCTTTCTTACTTTTTATATAATACTAGTTATTAAGTGTACGTATTTTGCACATGTATAGCGTGTTAATTAATTGTACGGGCGAATTGCTTTGTATAACTCATCAATTTTAGCTTTGTACACCCAAAATGTGTGCTTTGATAATAAGAATCAAACTTTTTGCATGTACCAAAGTAGTTGAATCACACAAAACCATCCATCCCCAATTAGACCAGAAAAAATTATATTACACCTATAAAATGAAACTGTCCATATGAGTCAATGCACCCAATTTTCTTTTTATTACTTAGTTAAGTGTCTCTAGATAGTTTTCAAAGAAAAGAAAAATATTAAGATGTGTTTTGTGACACACCTGTGTGTGATTTCATAATGCTTAAAGGCCAATGTGGTGTCTCGGGGAGATGTGATTATACTTATAAATATGTTACAGGTGTGACTGAGGGAAATCTTGCTTCTGAAGTTGTGACATTTGAGTCAAGAAATGGACTATATATCAAGCGTCTTATGTTTGGATGTTCATCAAATTACTCTAAAGCTGCAGATCGTTTTAGTGGAGTTGTTGGACTTGGACAACGAGCTATTTCTTTGGTTTCACAACTAAATTATACTGGATTTTCCTATTGTATCGGTAATATAAATGATAAAAACTATGTTCATGGTTATAGGCAAATACTATATAACCTTAGTGTTGGGGACAAGTTTCTTGACATCAATCCCAGAGGATTGATTACGAAGGTGGAATGCTTGTTGATAGCAGGGCTACTTCAACTTATTTGCCTGATATAGCATTCAATAAATTGAAGGAGGAAATTAGATCTGTGATTGGTACGACATTAAAAGAGAGCTTTGTTACCGTGGAACTATCAGATCTTAAAAACTTCTCGACTATAGCACTTCATTTGATTGAAAATGCTAAAATGAAGTTTGCTGTTGAGAATTTATTTTGACAAGATAAACCTGACTATTTCTGCTTGTCTGTACAAAGTACGGATAGTAACAGGCTTCCTCCCTTTTAGCATAATAGGTGTTTGGGCACAACAATTTTATTATATTGCCTTTGACTTTAACACCATGAGGATGTCCTTCACTAAGATAAGTTGTCACCGCCTGTTTGATTGATCATTGTACTCAAGGAAAACTAAATATATATATATGTCTAATTATATATACTATTGTTTCTACTTAATTCAGTGATACAAGTCTTTCAATTATATATCAATATCTTCATTTGCCTTTTGTTTAAGGAAAAGATAACAGCTCGTGTTTTGAACACGCTCAAATTGATAAGACTGAACCTTCCATCTTCTGATTTTTCTGGTGATTGTTCCAGCACAGTTCCAGAATCTAACTTCTTTGAGGATTTTTTAATAATCTTGTAGTAAAGGACCTTGTGTGGCTTTCTCATCTCTCCTAGTTAGAGTTGTTGCGTCTTGGTGGTAACGAATTCCAAGCAAGCAATTGGTTTCAAGAGATAACTTATAAGGTCCCTTCAATTCATTGAAAGAATTGGATTTGAGTACTGTTTGTGAACTCTCTAAATTCGTTGTCTCCGGCCAATTCATTTTGATCTCTCTTTTAATGAGTTTTCTACTTCATCTGAAATGTAGCTGGTTATTCAATTTTAGCACAAGCTAGCCTAATTAGCATTGACCTCCCTTACAATAAACTCATCGGTCAAACTGATGATTGCTTTGGGAGCTAGATCTTGCTAATATCTTGGATCTTGGAGGGAAGAATCCTAGCATGCATGGATAGGGACTGATCTACTCAAGATCAGCATTCTAAGCCTACGGTTCAACAAATTCTATGGCAGCCATCGCTTATCTGTCAGCTTCATTTCTTCAGATACAAGTTCCACAATGCCTCAACAATTTAATTTGCCATATTGCGTCAAGAAAATGGCACTGGTGAGTCAATGGATTCACGATTACTATATTCCAGGATGATCTTACTTAGCTTGTACATAGGTGATTCAATGGAAAAACCAGGAGTCCAAAAATGTTTTATTATATCTGAGGAGTATAGTAATAAATTGGTTGGAGCTGGTATATATCTCTAAAGTAAAGAGATAGCTGAAATGGGGGGGTATAATGTGAATGGAACTGTTTTTGAAGGAAAAGATAGGTCAAATGAAGTTGTTTGAGTCTCTTTGATAACTTGAACAACCACTCAAGAAACCAACTTTCTGGTATGATAACTCCGGGCCTTGCCAACTTGAACAACCACTTAATTCCATCCTACAAATGGAACTGTCGTTGAAAGAATAGGTCAAATGAAGTTGTTGTTGGACTCTCTTGACTTGTCAAGAAACCAACTTTCTACTTAATTTCTGGTATGATCCCTGCTAATTTAACTTTTCGACCAACTTTCTGGTATGATCCCTCGGTGCCTTGCTAACTTAGTGTGTTGGAGCACTCAACTGCAGAGTTTTGATAGATCATCCTACAGTGGCAATGCTCAACTCTGCGATCCTCCATGGCCCTAATTAAAACTATCTTAGCTTATTCATCATACATTTTACGAAAACTCCAGACGTTTGCCTTCATTTGCCTTTTCTTTATGGAATAGATAACAACTAGTCTTGGTTTGAACACGCTCAAGTACAGATGAAAACAACTCATATAGTTGAGCTTCCAACAGTTTTGCCTTATTGTCCAAAGTTTCTATGGTAATAACTCATAATAAGTGTCATGTATACTCTCTTTGTCATACATTTTTATGAAATCAGCAAATTAATTCATAATTTAAGGAAATAAGCAAGAACGAACGACAATATTGATGGATGATCATAGTTGGATCTAAAGCCAAGCATAATTCTTCTCAACTACAGAGTCACGAGAAACAACTTCAACAACAATTTCAATAATACATATAATTACATGTTTAAGAAACAATAAGGACAATATTGATGGATGATCATAGTTGGATCTAAAGCCAAGCATAATTCTTCTCAACTACAGAGTCACGAGAAACAACTTCAACAACAATTTCAATAATACATATAATTACATGTTTAAGAAACAATAAGGACAATATTGATGGATGATCATAGTTGGATCTAAAGCCAAACATAATTCTTCTCAACTACAGAGTCACGAGAAACAACTTCAATAATACAAATAATTACATGTTTAAGAAACAATAAGGACAATATTGATGGATGATCATAGTTGTATCTAAAGCCAAACATAATTCTTCTCAACTACAAAGTCACGAGAAACAGCTTCAACAACAACTTCAATATACATATAATTACATGTTTAAGAAACAATAAGGACAATATTGATGGATGATCATAGTTGGATCTAAAGCTAAACATAATTCTCCTATCATCTCTTCAGGTGGAAACAATCTAAAAGGCCTTTTGATATGCGAAACATTGTCCTTAACTTGGCGTGAAAAAGCTAAATAACAAATATGTTGTGTTAGCACTGTTTCATTATTCTTGAATATCTCAACTTGCTTTAAGGCTTCATAGAATTCTAATATTGGCCATCTACCACTATATTCATAACCATATATTTGTATATAGAATTCATTGTTACATTGATCAATAATTTGATAACGATCCAAATATACTTCTTTTTATATTGGAGTAAACGAAAGGTCTACGCAATTTTCCATGTTTACAATGAATTCTTTGTCTGTTCTTGGATCAGTTTTGTTCAATCCTATACGTGGTGAGATGAAATTTTTTATTATACTATTTTTGATTATTTTCGGATTTCGAAAAGTATCGTTGGATTGAATAGTGGGTGAGATGAATATGTACATAAGAGAATTATGACGATGATAAGATCACTCCATGCCATGGCTAGCAAATTTGAGAATGATTTAATATTTTGGTTTTGATCAATTTAATTTATACAACATAGCAATTCAAGTTTAAGTTGGACTAGAATTATAAAAACTTGACAATGTTGAGTTATATTAGAAAAAGGATAACTTTTTTTATAAAATTATGCTACTCCCTAGCTATGTCCCAATTTATGTGGTACTTTTCATTTTTTGAGAGTCAAGCAGTTTAAACTTGATCGAAATTTGTGCATAGAATCTTCAATTTTTTGAAATGAAATTTATATATTTATAAACTACGTACTATAAGTTGCAATAACTGATAATTCAAAATGCTTAAAAGATCTATGAAAAACTTACTGTCAAAGATAAATTTATTTGAATCTTGAAATTTGAAAAGTCACATAAAATGAAACGGAAGGAGTATTATTTTTAGTGGAAAAAATTGTAATTCCATTTTGATTGTTTCTAAACTATTGGTATCGCTGATGGCATTGGTGGTTGAGCTAAAAATTAACTGACGCTAGAATTGTAATATACTCATTCATAATGTTAAATGTAATATATTCATCCATAATATTATAACAAAATTTTATTATAACGATATGATTTTCTCCTAAATTAATTTTTCATGTTATATTTTATTACAAAATGATCTATCTATAATTGGAATGTGATTCATTATAATAGTATACTCTTTATAAAATTACCTCATTATAACAATCATACTAAAATGTTGTATGGTAAAATTTTGTAAGAAACAAGTTATGTATAAAATAAAATATTGAAATATTTATGGTAATCATCATTAATGTCATGCACGTAATAAATTTCAAGTACCAATAGCTAAAAGAGAAAATTGTATTTTAATGGTATCCATCAGTTATGGTCATAACTTCATGAAGTAATAAGACTATTGATGTTTGTCTTTTAATGGTATCCATCAATATACATAAATAACATCTTACTATAGTAGTCATGAAACGTTCAGACAAACAATGTGGTTATAGAGAAGTTTGCCATAAAATGTCCAGACAATCGTTATAGCTATAGAGAGGTTTGATTGTATATGTTTAAACTAGGATTTCTTGTGTCAATCTACTTATAGGCACTTGGCTAAAACTATGACAAGCTATTGTACTACATTCCATCAGTGATATGGAATCAATTAGCTTGGTTATTGTCGATTTGGTTTTGTTTTTTCAGTGATCTTTTTAGTTTAGAAATAATAAATTTATTGAGCGTATACACATCTCGATAGATATAGACACCTAGTACATGAACAATCCACATAAAAGGTAATGTGGATTAAATTAAATAATACTAGAGTTATTATTACATGAATAAAGTGAATCAATTACGAGAACGTGTGACTATCTGATGTGAGGTATAGGGTAGGTAAAGACTAAAGTAATGGATTTTGATGGTTTGGACTTGGGGTTTTAATAGTTGGCTAAATTTAATTGTTAGACTTGAGAAAATGATAAAGTTAAAGACTTAAGTTAATTAAAATTTAACAAAATATTTGTATTTTACTAATAAATAATATAAAAAAAATTATAAAATTTATTTATATATATAATTTTTCGATTCGATTTGGTTATTTTTCCAATTTTTTTTTAGTAAAATCAAAATCAAACCAAATGATATCGGTTTTCAAAATTTAAAACCAAATATCAATTTTTATAATTGGTTTGACTCAAATTATAATTCGATTTGATTTTTTAACCATAAGCATGAACAACCCTGATATGGAAACTCCTTTCCTAATATTTTAGTAATTCAAATCCTTTTGGGTTTAGGATTTCTCTACTTCTATAAAAGCCCAGCCCAAGACCAAACCCAAACCCAGCCTAAATTATATGTAACTCGCTTTCTTCTCTCTTATCGTCTACCATCTTGACTCATATCTCCGGCGAGAACTCATCGGCGGCGATCCTCCTCTTCCGGCGAATTCGTATTCCTAAGCTTCTTCTCTGTTACTGTAAGCATCCTTATTTCTCGTTTTTTCTTTTAATATAGAAACGAATCTTGATTCCTCTCTGTGAATTGGTTTTTTAGTGATAGGATTATAAATTACGAATTGGGTTTCGATTCAGTTTAGGTGGTACAAATCTATGAAGAAACGTTGCTTTAATCTGATTTTGAGTGT